TGGGAAATTAACGTCTCCTACCCCCAACCCTGCAGGAGACGGGACCTCCATTTATTCGTCCCTATCCGAGAAGACTAGAATATCTAACCATTTCTTGACGTTATAGGAAGATAGCAAATTCTTCTCAAAGTCAGAGTCATCTGTATTTAAGCAGGGTGGCCCTTTCAGTACTAGGCTGGTATCAATAGGAGCCCCTCAATTATTTTAAGACCCTGAGTGTTAGTCCGGCCGGGGCTCGTACCCTCAACCTCCCGCAGAACAGTCCAGCGCCCTATCCATTGAGCTAAACCGCCAACAAGTTCACTTTGTTGGAATCTTGTTGCTTCGAGTATACGGACGGTGGTAAAGCTCCTGCCCTGTCCTTAAGCTTGGTAGTCTCCTCCCGAACTGTCCTTTGCCTCAGGGGACGATACTTCTCCACAAACTCTTTCATAGCACTTTCAACCTCGGGATCCATCTCTACTGAAATTAGAGGTCGCATAAAGTTTACATTTGCAAACTCCGTGCTGGTCTGAGGGACAGGATAGTAGGAATTTTCATGAGTAAAATACTTGGCTACCCATTTCGTTACCCTCTTCAACGACTCCTTGGTAATTAATCCAAAGTTTTGGGAATACTGTAATGCGGTGGTCTCGTGCTTAAAATGTGAAACTGCATGTAGATTCTCGATAACGGTCGTAAGTAATGTGCTCAATTCAATATCTTGGAGATAGTTGTTGTCAATTGAAGCTATGCTGTTGTGCAGGCGGCGCATTCCTTCTTCGAGACGTTGAAGTGAGACTTGAGTTTTATGAGACAGTTCCTTCGGGGCCGCTAGTCGCTGTGGTTTCCTTATACTGTGCCGTTGTTTCACCTCAGAAACGGTGGTCTTTGTGATGTTGTCATTTACATGTGTTACTTTGTCTACGGCATCTTGAAGAGACAATTGTGCTTTCTATATGCTTTAGGCCCCGATACCAAAACTATCACAGAGACTTTCAAGAACGACACAGTACCACTTGTAAGACTTCTAAGAACGACAAAGTACGACACAGTACGACACAGTACGGCACAGTACCACTGAGTCCCGACGCTAGTTTAATGCAAACTCAAATCTTCCCGCCCGGTTTGGCCGAGAATTTCGCCTTTGGAACAGCTTTGATTAAGACGCCGTACTTTTCATGTGCCGATCCTAATGCATAAACTATTATAACGTATTTTGCAAGCAGTTTGGCTGGTTTTACTGGAACTGTACCTGGTACCTCTAAAAAGAATAGCGTCTTACGGTGGCCCACAAGGGTAACTACATAAAAGGGTCAACTGCATATTAAACACTGTGCCCTATACAAACAAAAAATGTTGCTGCAAATAAAAAAAAAATCTTATATCGGGTGCAGTGTTTCATATGCAGTTGACCCCTTTTTATGTAGGCTTGTGGGCCACCGTAGCGTCTGAATCAAGGAGCGTTTTTTTGTTAACTTGGGTCGGCCCAAATTCGACTTCAGTTCGACTCATGAAAAGTTCGGCGTCTGAACCGGGCCTAAGTTTCCGGAAAAGCTGTGGTGCAGCGTCTGGGGACGTAGGGGGGCT